GTTTGGAAGAATATGCAGAACTCTCTCTAGTGTGAAGATCCAAACCTCCTTCATTTAGAAGACAATCTTGCAAATATACATCTGAATCACTCCAGTCGCCACTAATTTTTTGAGACGCCATATTCTCTGTAACAATATTTTCATCATGGTGAACTGTTGATTGTTGTTTTTCTGTTGAACTGGCATTGTTTTGGGTAGTTAGATGTTTTGGAAAGGGTTTTAACCTTGACTTAGATGCTCGATTACAGGACACACTGTTGTCTCTGTAGCTCTGGAGTGATGGTGTTCTCTGCTTCACAGGGACATTGTGAGTTCTGATGTGTGCTTTTAGATGAGAGCGTTCTCTGAAGGCATTGCAGCATATGGAACACTGAAATGGTCTCTGATTTGTGTGAATAAGACAATGCCTTTTTAGTTTGGATGGAGCACCAAATCGTTTCTGGCACACAGGGCAATCATAAACTCTTTTTTGTCTATTAGAATTCTTACTTTGCAACACCTTCACATTTGCATCCTTGTCCTCACTTTGTGTTGTGACACTGGCTTCTTGTTCCTCCTCATTTTCTTGGTTTTCCTCCATCCACTGGCCTTCTGAAAGTTTGGAAGAATATGCAGAACTCTGTCCAGTGTTAAGATCCAAACCTCCTTCATTTAGAAGAGAATCTTGCAAATATACATCTGGATCACTGCAGTGACCAATCATTTTTTGACATGACATATTCTCTGTAAGAATATTTTGACCTTGGTGCACTGTTGACTTTTTTTTACCTGTTGACTTGGTATCATCTTGCGCAGTTGGTTGTTTTGGAAAGGGATTTGACCTTGACTTAGATGCTCGATTACAGGACACACTGTTGTCTCTGTAGCTCTGGAGTGATGGTGTTCTCTGCTTCACAGGGACATTGTGAGTTCTGATGTGTACTTTTAGATGACAGCGTTCTCTGAATGCACGGCAGCATATGGAACACTCAAATGGCCTCCGATTCATGTGAATAAGACAATGCCTTTTTAGTTTGGATGGAGCACCAAATCGTTTATGGCACACGGGGCAATCATAAACTCTTTTGTTTCCATTAGAATTCTTTCTTTGCAACACCTTTGCATTTACATCCTTGTCCTCACTTGGTGTTGTGACACTGGCTTCTTGTTCCTCCTCAGTTTCTTGGTTTTCCGCAAATGTCACACTGGTGGGATTTCTTTATTTTCCCTTCAGAATATCTGTTTGCACATTTATGAGCATATAAGCTCCTTATCGTAGGGAAACACTGACTACAGTCAGGACAAACGGGAAGGTCATGTGGAGGTTTGGTAAAGCATTCACCTGGATCCTGAAAGTCCAAAAGACCCACAACAACAATTTCTCTGAGTCCGGGCACATCAGGTTTCTGTTGATACAGGCAAGAACTGGGCTCGTAAGAATCAGGGACACATTTAACAGTGTCCGAGTCCACGAAGACACAATCTTCAATATCATCCATGTGATGTGCCCATTTTTCTTCAATTCTTGATTCAGAAGCACAGTGATGGAGAGATGAGTCAGTTTTGGGTGGACAGTCACTCACCCTGCCAAAAGGCACGATGTCAGATGCCTTTTTCCCATCAAGCAAGATGTCAGTTTCATCTGTCATACCCCAAACTGATTTGTTGTTGCACCGGAAAACAACCTCTGACTTCTCTAAAGGACTAGTACTTTTTGAGAAATATAAATCTGAATTATTGCAGTCACTACTCATGTTTTGAGATGGCATATCATCTGGAACCATACTTTGATCTTGGTGCACGGTTGACTTTTGTTTATCTGTTGAACTGGTATCATTTTGGGCAGTTGGTTGCTTTGGAGAGGGTTTTAACCTTGACTTAGATGCTCGATTACAGGACACACTGTTGTCTCTGTAGCTCTGGAGTGATGGTGTTCTCTGCTTCACAGGGACATTGTGAGTTCTGATGTGTACTTTTAGATGACAGCGTTCTCTGAATGCACGGCAGCATATGGAACACTCAAATGGCCTCCGATTCATGTGAATAAGACAATGCCTTTTTAGTTTGGATGGAGCACCAAATCGTTTATGGCACACGGGGCAATCATAAACTCTTTTGTTTCCATTAGAATTCTTTCTTTGCAACACCTTTGCATTTACATCCTTGTCCTCACTTGGTGTTGTGACACTGGCTTCTTGTTCCTCCTCAGTTTCTTGGTTTTCCTCTATCCACTGGCCTTCTGAAGGTTTGGAAAAATATGCAGAACTCTGTCCAGTGTGGAGATCCAAACCTTCATTTAGAAGGGAAACTTGCAAATATACAATGGAATCACTGGAGTCACCACTCATTTTTTGAGACTCTATAACCATATTTTGACCTTGGTGAGCTGTAGCAGAGGCTTCAGCTCCATCTTGTTTGGATATTTGCACATCTTGGTCTTTAGATTTTTCAGCATTACTAAAAGAAACTGTATGATCATGTTCCAAATGACCAGCAATTATATTCCAACCCTTTTTTTTGTGGATCCTCATGTGAAGCTGCAAATGGCCCCGATATCGAAATGATTTCAAGCACACTTGGCACTTAAATGGTCTGCTATCTGTGTGGCTCAAAATATGTCTGGTGAGCTTAGAAGGATACAGAAAGTTCTTCAGGCAGATGCTGCACTGATTCACACCTTTCTGTTTGCGCTTAAGGTAACTTGGGCTGGAGGTTGTGATCTGCATTTGAGTATTGTTCAAATCGTCAGAGCTTTTAATCTCTATAGTACTTGAATTTGACTCGGTCAATGGGACATTTTGGTTGAGCTTGCTTTGGCATTCAAGTTTTTTATGCTTTTTGGTCTCTAAAGAGTCTAATATCGGACATAAACACACATTACCACCAACCGGTCTGCAGTTATTTGTACCTTCTAAAGCTCCAGGTGTTGGAGGTTTGGCCTCGTGCTTCTGCGGGACTCTACTCAACCTAGATTTATTGTTTCTTTTTCCTGTATGTACCTTGAGGTGTTTCTGGAGATAATAGGCCTGTTTGAATGACTTTCTGCAGATTGTGCATGTGTAAGGCTTGACGTCAAAATGAACAAACAGGTGTCGAGTTAGTTTTGAGGGGAAACTGAATTTCTTCAAGCATATTTCACACTGATATCCACTTTTCTTTTTTAGTTGAAGCATACACATGTGATCAGAAGACTTGGGTACTGGAAAGATCCTTTTTCCGGCAGGTGTGACTACATCTGGTGACATAACACCTTCGTCAGCATTCTGCTTGATCTTGTTCTCTTTCACTTGCCGATCACTCAAAATGGAGTTGCATTCCAGTCTAAATTCTTCCTTACACTTGTGAACTTTCAAGTGTGATTTCTCTCGGAAAGCTTTGGGGCACACAGAGCATTTAAAAGGTCTTTCCCCAGTATGAATCAGAATGTGACGTTTGAGCTTTGATGGGGCTTTAAAGCATTTTAAACATAAAGGGCACCAATGTCCTTTTGTAATTTTAACACCCACGGTACCTGAATTAGATTCGATTAAGTCTGTTGCTGCTGTCTTTTGTTTATATGTTGAACTGGTATCGTTTTGGGCAGTTCGGTTTTTTGGAAAAGGTTTTAACCTTGACTTAGATGTTTGACTACAGGGCACTTTGTTGTCCTTATAGCTCTGGAATGATGGTGTTCTCTGCTTCACAGGGTTTGTATGAGTTCTGACGTGTACTTTTAGATGAGAGCGTTCTCTGAATGCACGGCAGCATATAGAACACTGAAATGGCCTCTGATCCGTGTGAATAAGACAATGCCTTTTTAGTTTGGATGGAGCACCAAATCGTTTATGGCACACGGGGCAATCATGAACTCTTTTGTTTCCATTAGAATTCTTACTTTGCAACACCTTCACATTTACATCCTTGTCCTCACTTTGTGTTGTGGAACTGGCTTCTTGTTCCTCCTCAAATATTTGGTTTTCCTCCATCCACTGACCATCTGAAGGCTTGGAAGAATATGCAGAACTCTGTCCAGTGTGAAGATCCAAACCTCCTTCACTTAGAAGGGAAAGTTGCCTCATAGTTGACATCTTGCTTGAAATGTTAAGCATTCCCTTCACACACTGCAAAGACAGAACAATATTAGTGCATCCATTCTTAAGCACATCTAATTCTTCAAATACTTTGGTTTTCAAAAGTACAAATACATTTGTATTTTTGTCAACCTTTTATTGATACATTTTGATGTCAGTGCTGGGACATCTAGTTCTCTAGGAAAGCCCCTCCATCACATGTAGGTTGTCAAAAGCATCTGTGCAGCAACCATCTGTTGTCCATTTGCAGTTATTTCAGCCTTCTGCCACTCTATGCCATTCATTTAACTGTGATCAGATCAGGGTTTTTTTTTTAAATAAAACCTGACCAAGCACATCACATTCTCTGCAAATAAAAAATAAAAAGAAAACAAATATTTATATAGATAAATACACACACACACACACACACGTCTGGTCAGCTATCCTTGTGGGGACTCTCCATAGGCGTAATGGTTTTTCTACTGTACAGACCGTATTTTCTATTGCCCTACACCAACCCTACCCCTAAACCTACCCCTCACAGGAAACTTTGTGCATTTTTAGATTTTCAAAAAACGTCATTCTGTGTGATTTATTAGCTTGTTTACCCGTGGGGACCTCAATTTAGGTCCCCACCGTGACACGAGTCCCCACGAGTCTGTGTGTATTCAGGTTTAAGTCCCCACCAGAATAGAAAAACAGGTACACACACACACACACACGACATATATTTGTCAGTAGTGAATTAGAACAAAATACTAATAAGCAGAACATTTCAAAGGGGCGAAATTAACACGAAGTGGAAACTTAAGAATTAATTTAGCAATAACTTAACCTTACCCGCAGGAATTCCCTGATGTTAAGTCGAGAGACGAATTGCTAAATTTGTCATAATTTTGTACGTTTGTGTTCGAAACTAACAACAACAGACTTCTGATAGAAATACATAACTACAAGGAACAAATCATTAACAACTGTTCTGTCCTCGCCCGCACTGGTAATATGATAATAGACGCTACTTCTTCTTCTTCTTCCACGTTTTGTGGCGGTTGGCACCAGCTTAATGTGAACTACCGCCACCTACTGGGATGGGGTGTGAAAACCAGATGGAGGAGAAACTAAAACTAAACCATATTAATCAAACCTGTGTCTCGCACATATTTTAACATAAAGTTATACAGTACGTTCTTGACTGTTTCTGTCTGAAATAGATTCTTTAATGTTATGATATAATGTCTATATTGTGAACAAGCTAAATTATTTGTCTATTATATGGCTCACAATGTAAGAGTTCAACAGTAAATTTAGAAGTGACTCACTTTTCCCATAATGTGCAGAAAATAATTAAGGATGACATGTTCAGTATGAAGACAGGATATTAGTCTAGGCTATATCTTCCCTTCTGTTTCTGTATGTGCTCCTTTCAATCCCCACTTTATGTTGAATGTGTCTCCCTTTTGACGCTTTATTCCAGTTTTCTTCCGCATATTATTAACAACTGCTTTAATAATACATTTGACTTTTGCTTGGAGGGATATACTTATCTATACTTATGTATATTTATGTAAGGCTAACCTTGTCATTCACCCCTACATGGGCTTTTATTCATACAAATGTTATGTTTACTCCTATTTGAATTATTCTTTACACATTCTGTTCAATTTCATATAGGGTAGGCCTATATAAGTTCATTGTACATTGCTATATTTGTATGCCCTTTTGATGACCAACAAATACCATAGTTTTATCTTAAAGGAAATGTAAACAGCCCTAACTTTCTGGGCTGTACTATAAAGTTGATGTCTTTTTGACGGCTGTTCCAGTTTACCAGTAGCCTAATACAGTATCGCCTAATATTGCCTGAGTGGGCTTTGTAATTTGTAATAAAGGCAGTGTATTCTATCATTTTTTATTTTATTTTATTTTATTTTAAAATGCTTTGTTAACCTTGAAATCAGACAGCTAATTCTTACAAGCAGAGTTTGACCACTAGATGACAGTGTTAAGCTGTATGGCAGGATCAAGGCACAAACAAGAAAAGCAATGTAGCCTAGTTCAGCTTTGTGTAATCTAGCATAAGGTGAGTTTAGTTAAATAAATACAGTTGTATCCATCGATAACGATCTCGGACACTGAAAACAATTTTAAAACACTAAAAACTTTTTTTTTTTTTTAATAATAATTAAAAATACTCCTCGTGGGCACAGTAGGCTAATACACAGTGTCATTTCCTTAGTTTGGCCAAAATAATGTAAATCTTTAATCGAAGGTATGTTATTTGCGGTATTTAAGGTATCCTTTTCAAAGTTCAGAGTGTTTTAATGAAATATTGCTTTTAAATATGTCCTGTTTAAACCATCCTCTAAATAAGGGGGTGCATATTTCAAAGAAGTCACACGCAAGAGAAGCACAGTTTGTGCAACAACCCCGTCACCGCGCGCTTGTCCATGCAATTAGACTTTATCTGGAAGCAGTCTAATTTTCTGCGACATGGCGCGAGCGGCTCGGGCCTGATGGATGTGACATTAACGGGAGATGAAGCTGGGGAGATTTGACGCTGCAGTCACATAGTGGCATTTGTCACTGCCCCGGTCATGCAGATTGCGCCAGCACCGGCCACTGACTAAGATTAATGATGACGGCTCTCAGTCTTTGTTTCTCTCTGTGCTTGTCTCGAGCTCGAGCCTAAATACCATTCACACACACCCGGGCTTTATGATAAGACCTCATACATACAGACTGTACAAGAACCATTGAAACCCTGCGTCATTAATTACATTAAAACACAGTGCATTCTATTTATTATTGTAAATTCCAGTCATGTCATTAGTGGTACTCGGTAAGGAAACCAACACCATTAGGCCTATATGCTCTTAGTTACGATTGGGGATTTTTGGGATTTTGCCCACTGACGCATTTCCGAATAATTAGGCTAATATAGCTAGTTTATTTGTATTACGTTTTAGTAGTAGGCCTATTTATTCTTTATTAGTATTAGTATTCTTTTTATAGTTTATTTTATTGTTTTTAAATTACAAACATAGTATTCCCTGCTGCGGAATAACTGCAAATTTTATATCTTTCTCTGTTGTAATCTCTATTATTCCTCTTTTGGAAAGTGTCAGAATCGCACTAGGGGATTTGTATATATATATATATATATATATATATATATATATATATATATATTTCTGTTGGAGTAAACGGGAACTTAAAAAATTATACAAATTTTACCTCCATAGAAATTTACTTTCACATTCTAGACAAAAAATGGTTCATAATAAAATAATCTTGTAGCCACACTGAACTGAGGACCCAACATATATCTAAGGACTTGAATATCTCAGAGACTCAGATATGGGTTAGTAACCAAGATAGAAACCACAAGAACACCCTAGCAACCACCCAGCCCACCCTAACCACAGCAGCATAGCAACCAATCCCAAAACCACAGCATTGTGGTGGTGAGTTTTGCAGGGTCATGCACCACTTTCTTTTTCTTCAGACAATTTTAAAAATCTAATTTTCATGTAGTTGTTATTATTATCATTTATATTTATTTGCATTTATTTAGCTATTTCTCTCTCTTTTTTACTTGCTCACATATACACACACACAACATAGTAGCACTTGTAGACCTATATCATTTTTGAAGTGGCAAAAGCAAGCTGATAAATAGGGACCAAGGGATGTCTACCGATTAATCAAAAATGCAATTCTTGGAATCTCTTACAAAAACGCTGCGTAGAATCATGAAAGGAATTCCTAAGAAGTGTACGAGACCTCCATGCATCCCCTCGGTTGTAATAAGGGAGAGAGCGGTAACCCCAAACTGGCTGCTCGGCTGCACAGAAAATGGTTTTCCTTGACAAATGAGGTGATGCGGACCAGGCTCAGATGGATGGGGGTTTGGGCTGGTTGTATCAGGGCTCTTGGGATGCTGGGTATTTACTCAGTCATTCATCATCCTCTGGCACATCCACTTATACAGGATCTGCACCGCACACCCATACTGATGTAATTCTCCACATGGAGAGCTGAATTACCATAGTCTGTCCTCAGTGTGTTTGTACGGATATGTTATTGTGAAGCATGGAACAATTTTCTGGATGTGCGTTTGTGCGCTTTTATGTATCTGTGAACCTCAAACTGTAGCAACGCACTCTAATGGCAAATGTAACTGCTTTACATTTTGGTAAATTGGTGGCTAATACGTATGATCTCATTCATGCGTTTTCATATGATCATAAGGTCAGGTTATTCTAATAAGTGTATTTATTCTAATATGTGCCCATGGTGGTGTAAATTGTACAGGACAGTTGTACCACCTTGACAATTTTGACTTTATGCCCTAAAACTATTAGAATTAATTTAAATTTATAAATTAAAAACATTTTCATCATTAAAGAGTTTAAGTCATGTTTTTGCATGATTGGACCACATGACTTTGTTGGTCGCACCACATGACAGTGATACTACTTAATAGGATTTTTCTCATTCATACATTTTTGTACAACCCGCTTACACTCCACTGATTGGTAGGTTTAGGGGTGGACCTTCATGCTTACTTTTTTTCTAAAAAAAATCAAACCATTGTATATGGATCATGAATTCATACAAAATCGCCAACAGTTACATTTTCTCATAGGGTCGGGTTATTCCATGTATTCATTCTATGGTGTAAATTGACTGTCATAATTTTATTTTCAAGTAGGAAAGAAACCTCTGGAAACTCCAAGCTCTTAATGAGCACATCCTATAGTGCTTATTTTAATTTGAACAGCTTTGATCCTGGTCTCCAGTCATCTATGAACTAGCATTGTCATTCATTCCTCAAAGCTGTTCTGAAATGACAGAAGCTCACATCGTCCAAATGTTGAGCATGGATCTGCCCACGTTGTCTTGCTGTCTGTCTGTAACTCCCTTCCCTATTTGCTTATGCACCTCTCGCAATGCCGAACATCACTCCACGGACACCATATACCATCATCCTCCTGATGCTAGCTCTTTCTCAGCATGGGCTCCGACCAGGGCGCTCATGCGTGAGTGACATTTGCTCCAGCAGAACATTGGAGTTTCAATCAAACCACATGGGTCCTGGGTGTAGTTTGTTCTTCAATACAGTATGGAGTGAAAAGACAATATTTACCCCCACATGGAAATCCCATGTGGATTCACCCTTGGCCGGTTCGTGTGTGCCAACTGTCTGCCCCGGAATCCCAGGGTGCACCGGGAACAGGCTGGTAATGTGGCAGAGGGTGATGATGCAAGCAGCTCAG